AGCAATAAATCTGCAAGAGTGGATCTGTGAGATACAGTGTCTTTGAGTGACATCAATGATTCACTGCCAGTGCAAAATGTTTGCCCAGATATATCTGGTTTACAGAGACTGACAGTCAATACATAGTTGCTACTTAACATCACATTGGCACTAATGCCTCCCATATGGTCAACTGACCTTTCAAGGAGAATCAGCTGTTCGCCTGTACAGTAGAAACTAAGTTGTATTAACACTGAGGTCATTTTCAGTTTTTCTAAGTGGTTCTGTCCACTGTAGAACTTCTGGTACTACTTTTATGAAGCCAAACTCAGGTAGACACACATGATGTGAGCTCAAGGCCCTGATGAAAGGCCCAGTAGTGACCAACCTCAGCTTCTTCAGAGATGCAGTAGCATGAATTTTCCTCCTAAGATTTTGTGACACCTCCTGTCAAAGAACTATTTTTTGAGTGTCAGAGGAACTACAGCAGCTCCACTGAATCAATGAGCACACTGCACCTGCTTCACCGGGAGTGTATATATATTATTGAGTGCTCCATTCTTTCTCCTCCTCACCTACACTTGATCAATACACTTTAAACTTTTTACTTTTATTTTTTTTCACCTAATAATAGAAATATGAAGTTAACAATGATCCAGACATTTAGGTTGACCAGGCTGCACACCCTGATGGATGAAGCCAAGATGCCATCATCGCCAATAGTGAGTGACATCTAGTGTGTCTCTCTATTTGAAATGCATGGTGGTGCAATGAACATTATATCATGAGTAAAGGAGAATCATAGTGAAGGAGAGATAGAGGATATCTGTGAATCATTATTCACTCTTAGGCTATGTGAAGTGTAGAGCGATGTTGAGAGAAAGAAGAGGAGGAGAGAGGAGGGGAGTAAAGCCCCACACATTTACATATTCTTTCACAAAGAAAAACTCATAAAGTCGCCTTTCCTGCTATTTCAAAACAAAACCCCTGGCAGTTTTGCTAAATGTTTATCAGAGACTTTGTTTCTCTCAGACTGTCTCACAGAACGCAAACGAGACAATTAAAAGTCAGGCAATGTTTTTTCATCCCCAGCATTATTGCAAATTCATTTTCAGCTGTAACTGTCCTACTCCAGAGGCCGAAAATGTATTTGTTATACTTTCTTTGACCTCTGCATACATTACTCACATGTCTGCATATGTGAGCTGCAGTAGCAGTGGAGCCATGTGTTAATTAAAGCCAGGGAAGCTCATCTATATTTATACAGCTGCCATGTGGACATGAATCTTTAATGGTGTGACTTCTCTATACACTGAATATGCTGCAGAAGTGGAAGAGGGAAAAAACAGCGGTGGGTTTCTTAGTTTGCATTGATATTTCACTGTATAAATCTTTCTGTGGATTTAACTACTGATTGTTAAACTGATCATGGAACACATATTTCTTACCAATGTAGACAAATGGTAAGTTACGTGTCCTAAACTATTCAACCATAAACTTAAGTAGTCAATACATACTGAAGTTCTAACCACATTCAATTCTTAACTGTTGCTGTCTAAACAAAAAACAAGAGCAGTGTTAGAATTAACAACTTGATGTTTGTTACTTACAATATTTGTTGTTGTTGACAGCTGCGTATTTTCACAGAAAATTAAAACACCAAAATCTATCAACTATGCAGCAATACGGCATGACAAAGGCTGTAATTACAATGTGTTTGTGTCTAGTCACAAAGTTGTAGTATAACAACAGTACAGGGGAAAATAAAGGAAGGACAGAACAAGAACAGCCTGCTGGGCTTAAGGGAAACTAAAATATTGAAAATGGAAGATTTGGCAGGTGTGTAGACCATGCACATGTACGGAGACCATGTGGGACTAACAGCAGCTGTGAACCAGAATCCTGTTTG